ATTATGTTGATAGCTCTTCATCTATCTATATTTTGAGTTATTGTCTGCGTTACTGATTGGCCTTATGCTCTGCTGAGAACTGTAGCCACTTGTGGCGCTGAAACCGTTCGATTTGACTACAACTTTATCCATTATTTTCTCATTCAGGTCATTTGAGCAACCCCACACATATTACGGCTCTTTAGCTATTTTTTTCCAATTCGTAAAAGGTTAGCAGTGCCACTTCAGTATTCTCAGTCATTATCCATCCCTGCGGCAGGCTCATCCGTGTGCTAAAACATTTTCTTGTGGCCTTGAAGCTTTGACCGTGGCTTCTGATGATAAAGCCTTTTATTGTGTTGTACAGTTTATCATGTTCACTAGCCTTGTATAGATGTTGTAATAGTATGTTCTGAATTAGAATTGCCTGTTGATTGTTGTTATCTTACTTCGAATGAAGATTTATTATTCACTTCACGCGACGAAAACCAAGACATAAGACGGGACCCTTGTTTTCTCCTTAATTCCCGCGTTGGAAGAGCCTCATCCATCAGTGCTGGTATGATCAACGTGGACGCCTCGCTCTGTCTACGGCAGGAATTTGCTGGAAAGGGTCCAGCAGTTGGGTAGCCAATGGGTTGGCGAAGAATTCCGTTGCTGCGGGTGGGGCCATGTTAATACATAGCGACTCGTATTGCTCTCTGAAGGAAGCTGCTTCCTTCAATAGAGGATATCTTCTCCCTTTGTTGACCTCCAAATTACCGCACCTTTTCCTTGCAAGGATCTTGTTGAAATACCCAGTCACTAGACGGTGGAAAAGTGGTCAATGTGTAGATGCTGATTAAGATAAAGATAAGACGCTGATAAAGTTGATGTGTTGTATCTACCTCACTTCACTCTTCCAAAACATCCACTGAAAGCACATTCCTGATCAAGCTGCTGCGGCCCATTTTTTCCGTGGAAGGGATAGATCTAACCATAAAAGTAAAACAAGGTAAAACCATGTGTCATCGACGAAAGCGCGCATCAATGGCCCAGTTGTTCCGCTTCACATCTTGGCCGTGTTGCATCTGGCACAGCCTTCATGCTGTCTCGTTTAATCCCTCTTCGAACTATGTAGTCGTATTTATACCTCAACGAAAATGGTTGCTCAAACCCGGGTGCGGGACTTTTGGCTCGTCCGGGCTGGCACGCGGCGAGTTGCGTAGCGATCTGGACGTGACAAGGCTTCGTAGGTTTTGCAATAGAACTCAACACGTCAAAGCGCATGCAGATTGCGAATAAACTTTCCGCGGTTTGAAAAAAAAAACTTTCCGCGCGCTGAGATTTGAAGCGGCGGGTCAGTGAGGAGAACCCATCGCGAGGAGATGAGAGAGGACCTTC